TTCACTGTAAATTTTGTAGCTCCAGAATAATTAGTTGCTACATAGATAATGACGCCTTATTCCGAATAAAGATTAAATCGATAGAATGAAATAAAGAAACACCTTGGTTTATATAACTAAAAACAGTGTTGGGAAATAACGTCTTGTTCGATAACACGGATATGTAGCCTAAGTACGGTCGTCGTTAGATCTAGGTCGTTAACTTGAGCGGCGTAAAGCGTATTTATACGAGTCACGATTGCAGTTGATTAATTACATCTTTGCATTGCATCATATTCATATCATATAGGTACGATGATGGATCAACGGATCGATCGAAGGATGATTGGAAATCCGAAGATGGTGTAATGGTATTCTCTCCAGGAGATGATGTAATGGGCTTTCTATTCAGATGACGTGGATGATCTGATGATGCAGATACTAACATTTAAATATATATCTTACCCAGACAAGCCCCGGTGCATAACCCCTACTTTTCTACAGTTTAAATTATATTTGTGCATTAAGTTTTAAGGAGTTGATTGAAACCCACTTGCATTATATCTCTATCATATGAGTCTTACTAGTATGACAGGATCGTGTAGAATGTTATGCTACAGGACTCCGGTAAAAGTCGAGTGATTGTCCGTCACTCGCGAGAGATAGGAAATATATTACTGTATTATTATCACTTGAAAAATATAAAATGATGGAAAGGTAAAATGGTGACCGGGCAGGGATATGTTTTGGGTATTGGTGGGTGTACGAGGTTGTGTCGCCGTGGACACGGGGCATGGCTTGGTTACACTGTTTTCCCTGTCTGGTCGGTTAATGACCGATCGTTGCATAAGGCATCAAGGCAAGTCACGGACTTATTATCCCAAGCACATACTTGGGTATGGGCGCTTGGAAGACTTGTTGCTCTCTTGTCGTGGATCCGGCTCTTTTCGGACTGACTGTCCGGGTTTTATTTTAGTGGAGGAGGTTCTTGCACCGCACTGAGTTCGGGACTAAGAGACGGGGGCTTGGAGTCCCAGTTTGAACGGGGACCTGTACACTCGGGACATGAGAGTGATGGGTTGGTCCTACTTGTGCCTGGGGTACAAGCGGGGCGTGTGTTTTCGGGGTACCCAGCTTAGGGCATTGATTCGCGAATCGTCGGGCGATCCGGTACGACTTGTCTCGTAGTAAAAACTGAAGATGAAAGATGGAAGATGGAAAAGGAAATCTGATTGCTTACCACCTGTTTGAAAGTATCACAGGTGCTTATATAAAATGGTTAGTTAATGAACCAATGCGGCTATTAATAAAAATCAAATATAAAGACGCACGCTTAGTAATGCTTTCTGCAAATGCAACCCACAAGCCATATAGCCTTGCATATCCTTAGAGTCTTTTCTTTCCACCTGTCGGGTAAGTCTTGCTGAGTATAATTGAGTACTCAATGTTTTATTCCTCCTGTTGCAGGTGACAGGTGGAGGCTAAAGCTGACCTTTGTGTGTGGATTCCTCCTGGTGGGCTCAGAGAGGACTTCCTTTACGCTGCGATCGTAGTTGTTATTTATAACTCTCACCAACTGTTTTTATAAATGAAAGTTTCATAATCTATTACCATAGTTTATATATCAATACTTCATCATGTCATGATTAGATAGTCATTTCCGCTGTAAGTCTAATCACATGCTTATATTCCGCTGTTCAATTAAATTATTCATAACTCTGATAATACGATTTCATTCCGCTGTTACATTAATAAATATTATACTCTGATGTTGTATTAAAAGTGATGTAAGAAATGGTTAAGATTGATGTAAGCTTTATTCTCTCATTTGTGATCCTGATGGCAAAAATGTGGATTTTCAAGTTCTCCCCTAGGCTGTGTCCGACGGAACTGAGTAATTTAGTGTTCTCCCTTAGGTGCTTAGTGTCTATTGGAAGACAAGCACTCCTGTGAGACATTAGATTAGGCGGTTCTACCACAATTTCACCAATAAAATCAACACTTAACTCTCTGAATGCTTTCATAGCTGATTTATAGAGTGCTGTAATGCTTAATAGAAACATCAAATATTCAGATTCTTTGAGCTGGGACTATCTATAGAGTGTGCATTTTTCCTCACTTCTGGTTTTCGCATCAACTTACTATTCTATAGTCCTTATTTAATTTCAATTCACTATATCTGCAGGAGTTGAAAAGAGAAATGGTTTACATCAAATGCACACCCAAAGAAATTGTATGCATGGTTTAGGAAGCTGCAAACCTCTAGGTGTTGATTTTTAGAAGAAAACTTACAAGGTACCAACCCATAAATCTATAGTCTATAATAATCCCATCAACATATGTTCATTCATAGTCTGTGATTCCACCGTTGCTTTTACTATAACACCTAACAAGTACTATATTAAGCAATCAAGCATGAAAAAGAAGAAGGAATCAGATCATCATCACTACTATTGGCAGATAAAACATTCACGGTCGTGAGGTGTTCAAAAGAGAAACATGGTTTCACCGGAAAAAACTCAACCTCATACGGAGTGTCTTAACATCTGCAGCCTCCAGTTTTCTACAATAATTGACTTTTGAAATCATGATACGAAACAAAAGGAACATTATGAGGCCAAACAAACATGATGCCAGATAGCAAGTAGGTAAGAGGCCATCAATACATATCAGCGATGAAAGATTTCTGATTTTAGAGTCAGAGTCACATTGCAAAATCAAACCTGGGCAATAGTGCGATGGGCAAAATGCTCATAAGTCAAATGGGGATCAGCTGTTTGCGTGTTAGACAATGAGCAAGGCCAAGGAGATATTTCAGCTCGTGGAGTGCCCGTGCAAATTCTGAATGTTTCAACGCAACGCACGGGCACTCCATTGTGTAGCCCGCGGGACGGCGCTACGGCATGGTGGGACATCGTGTCGGAGCTATTTTTGGCGGCGGAGAAGAAGCAATGGCTGCGGTCCTTAGCAAACAACAGGATGGCGCCTGTGGCGGCGGTTCTAGATCCAAGCAATGGAACACAAGAGAGAAAAGGTACGACGGGTTTTGAAAACCTCTTCACCTCCGTGTGGGCTTGGCTGCTCAGTCTGCGGTCAGTTAAGGGCGGCGGACAGCGGGATCACCTTGGTTGGCTCCTGGTTGCCTGGTTGGAGGCCACCGTGCGTCAGCCTCCTATGAGGCGGCGATGCCGACTGCCCACGACGCGTCGACGGTCCGACAGAGGCACGGAGCGCTGGAGCCGCGCGATGGCTGGGACGCTAGGATAGGGGCGCGGGCGGCCCTCCAGGCGGCTCACCATCGACACCGGGGTTGTGCGCGTCGTCCGCCGCGTGCCCCCTACGGCAGCTGCGCACTGATCAGATCCGGCGAAGCAACCGTCGACCTCCGGCCTCCAGGCGTCTCACCGTCGACGCCGGGGCAGCGCGTGTCGTCCGCCGTGTGCCCCCTGCGGCAGCTGCGCACGGGTCGGATCAGGTGAAGCAGCTGCGGTTGAGCGGGCGGGAGGAGAGCAATAGAAGGCTGCATGGCGAGCTGGGCATCGTCCGCGGTTAAGGGGCAGGGAGGCCGTCGGTGGTGGAGGGGCAGTAGAAGAGCCGGCGGGGAAGCGGAGGAACGGGCGAAGGATCGTGGCTGCGTCGTGGGGCTGTGAAGACGGATTGTGTGTGGGCGTCGGTTTTGCGGGAGGCCATGCGGAGGGAGCGGACGTGGAGCGAGGGGATAGGCCGCGCTGCGGGGCAATTAGCGCGGGGTGATTAGCGCGTGACGAGGGTCATTTGCGGGGCGAGTAGGATAACATGCTGGTCTTTTTAGTTGTAAGTAGATATAAATATAGATATAGATAGAGATAGAGATAGAGATATTATTTTTATCATGTATCTCGATATAGTGTGTATTTAAGTGTGTAATAAAATCTACATATTTAATAAAAATATTTTTGAGTGGTGAGTCCCTTATGTTAAATTTGTTTTAAACTATGAGTTTAGTTTACCATATGTTAAATGGTACCCTCTGTTCCAAATTATAAAACGTTTTGATTTCTTTAGATATATTGTTTTTACTATATATCTCACTAAAATGTTTTTGAGCTGAGTCCCTTAAGTTGAATTTGTTTTAAACTATGAGTTTAGTTTACCAAATGTTAAATGGTACCCATCGGTTCCAAATTATAAAACGCGAACTTCTTTAGATATATTGTTTTTATATACGTATTTAGACATAGTGTGTATCTAAGTGTACAGTAAACTATATGTATCTAAAAAAAATATAAAAACATTTTATAAATTGGGATGGAGGGAAAACGTACTAGTGAGCTGCTTTGAATCCTCTTCGATGGAGGTGAAGTCACATACATTTCACTATTATTTTTAAAAATAGAAAATATAGGTCATGCACTGGTTTTATTGTTGCTCGTGGGACATGTTGCCAACTCGTATTTTATATATTGTATAATCCTCCATTAATGCTCTTTTTTCCTTGAAAGCCTTCCGGCAAAACTTTATTGATTCAATAATATGGATGCATCGTTTACAAAGTCTCCATTACTGCTCTTTAATACTTCATCACAGCATGCCAATATTGTTTGCATGAATGTTTGTAATTTGAGTTCAAATTAAACCAAAACTAAGGCATAGGGGGTATGGTCCACCATTTCATTCAGACGCCTGGCCAGCCCAGATCAGCCCATCACTATACAACCCATAGCCCAATATTTTTTCCCATACAAACTTAGCAGTCCTGGGCCTAACTAATAACAGTATCTGATAAATGACGCTGGCCCATCAGGCTCACTACTATACAGGACCCGTCCCCCTCCCACGCCGCAAACCCGTCTTCCTTCCGGCGTAAGCTGGCGAACGAATGATGGTTTCGCCGAGCAATTAGCGGCAACCTCCACTCCTCCCTCGGTACCTCCCCCCACTCTTTTGGGGTTTCCCTCGCACAAACCCCCAAAAAGGCAAAACCCCCAAGTCAATCTCTCTCCTCCCCGATCGCAGCCCGATCGGCGGCGGCGGCGGCGGCGATGGGGCGGATCGAGATCGATTGGGAGGAGGTGTTTGTCAACTCACCGTCCCATGACCGCGAGGTCGAGGTCTGCTACGCCTCCCCCTCGTCGGCGCCGCGCGCCTCCGCGGCGAAGGCGGCGCGGGCGCGGGCGTTCGGCGTCGCGAAGGCGTTATCGGGCGACGAGCGGCGGGGGTCCCCAGACAGCCACCACCGGAGGAGGTTCCGGGCGCTGCGCGACGATGTCGACTGGTGCGTGGCCGAGCGCCGCACCGCCGCGCACCGGGGTGACGGGGCGCACCGGCCAGTGACCCGCGCGGCCGCGAAGGTACGCGCGTACGCCCGCTCTCCTGTGGTTGTGTCGAACTGGGGGTGTTTGATTACGGATGGTTGAAGTTGAACCTCGCGGTAGTTTCGCATACTGTTCCTCAGGTGTGGTGTGCGCTTAGGTCTTTGTCCCCCTTTCTGAGCTACTACATTGCATCAGCGAAGCGATTCCGAGTACCATTGCTTGCTTGGTTGTGATTCCGAGTACCATTCCTGGCTTGGTTTGCAGGCTGCTGATGATCGGGGACAGGATGCTCATGCCGCTTCTAAGGATGTGTTTGCTTTCGGTAAGATTTCCACTCTTGCTGTCGTTATCATTTCTAACCTTGCACATCTGCTAGTCGCAAAAGGTGGATTGGGAGACTTTATGAACATGTCATGGGTTAGTGGATTTATCACGGGAAATGCATTCTATCAATGTGAAATATCAATCATCAGAATAAAGCGTCGGTTGAATCCAAAGTTCAAGAAGGCGCTAGGCGCTGACCCATAGCATAGCGCCTAGGCTAGCCTAGGCCAGCCTAGGCGTTTCAAGGTGTTTTTCTAGGCGTTTTGCCAATTTAGCACACAACATATATATATTATATATATATAGCAGAAAATGCTGAATAAATTAGTTAAATAGAAGCATAGAGTAGCTGAATACAGTATATAAAAGAGAGGGCAGTAGACATACCTTAGTGGCTTACTGGCTTAGGCTCAATAATCAATAGACAGCTTGTTCCAAGTTCCTACAGTAAGGATTGACAGCTTGTAAATACTCAATAGACAGCAAGCAGTTCATAAAAAAAATAGAAAATAGCAAGTTGACACTTATCTGAATGATTTCAGCCATCTCCCATCCATGAACAGACCATATCAGCAGCTAGTAATTACAAATTTTAAAGCATAAACAAGTGAACAGGACAGCAGTACAAGTGCACAACACAATTCATAAATAAAGGTCTTGTTCAGAGACCACATAGTTCTCACAAAAGAAGAAAAACACAGTCACACAACAGCGGTTCATAAGTTTCATACATACATGAATGCATCATAAAAGATAAACCATGACATGATAAAAAGGCCCCACTACCATATCATCTTTCTTCTTCAATAGGGTTCCACATAATCATCCTCATCTTCATCAAACTGTTCTTCTTCGGAGTCAAATTCTTCTCCTTCATAAAGCTGTCTCACTCTTGCACTTCTACGCAGCTCAAGTTGTTCTTCTGCTCCCACTGCATCTCCAATAACAGACCAAGGTATCCCTGTACCTTCCATCTCATCTTCCTCATCTCTATAGACAACTAATGCACAATCATCTCCATTCTCATGCAGAAAACCTTGAGCTTCAGTTGTATCATTAGACAAGAGAACATCACTGATCTTCTTTGACTTGATCTTTTCTTTCTTATTAATCAGCTTGGAGTTGAATTGAATATGGACCAATTTGTTTAGGCGGGCTGTAGTAAGCCTATTTCTCTTCTTATTGTGTACCTATAAATTTAAAATAAGAGCATTTTCAGGTCTGCAATTTAATTGTAATGCTGCTGCAATTTTCAGGTAGACAGGTACTAACCCCTTCAAACCCGCTCCAATTTCTTTCACAACCAGAAGAGCTTGATGTCAAAGATAGGATCCTTGTAGCCATCTTCTGTAAAGCTGGTGTTTCAGTTCCATACAACCGCCACCATGATGCTGAAATAAATGAAAAACACCTCTATTAGTTAGTAGCCATTTATTGTTAGATGAAAACAGCAAACAACCATGTTGTAATCAAATTTATTGTAAATCCCTCCTTGCATCACCTTTCCACAGAGTTTGCACTTCACCTTGTCCTTGTTGTTAGCATCAACAAGAACCCTATATTCCCATCCCACATCATCCGAATTCCTTCTCAGGAGATTCGCTCCCTCAGTGTTCGCTAGGCATACATTCAGATTCAGAGCACAGATCAGGCTCTCTAACATTCAGGCATTCAGAGTAGTCATTCAGAGCATTCAGGCATCCAGAGTATTCAGCTTCAGAGCAGGGGGGAGCAGCGAGCAGGGGAGGGGACTGACCTTGGGGCTGCCGCTTAGGGAGGACCTGAGGACACTGTCGGGTAGGGATGCGCCTGTGGGAGGGGTGCGCCGACGGGAAGACGAGACCGGTGGGGAGGAGCTTCCAGGCAGGGAGCAGTGCAACCGGTGGGGGAGGCGCTTCTAGGCGGGGAGGAGATTAGGGATGGGCCATGGGGAGGAGCTTCCAGACGGGGAAGAGCGCGGCCTGCGGATCCACCTGCCCGGCGCCGGCAGGGAGGAGCGCGGCCGTTGGGAGCAGCTTCCCGGAGGGGTCGCAGGCGGAGGCGGGTGAGCGGCAGTGGCCGTCTGAGAGCGGGAGAAGCACGAAGCAGGCAGGCGCGCGTCCTTTTCCCCCCTTCTCCCTCATCCTTCCCGCGCGAGGCTTCTTTTCTCGCGCCCGAACCCAGCTGCGCGCGTGAGCTTCCGCGGGGGCGGAAAATTTCGCGCGCTCGCCTGAGGCGTCCGCCTCCACGCCGTCTAGAGCGCCTGCGCGCCGCCAAATCGCCGCCGAGGCGCTGTGCCCGCCTAGGGGTCTGCCTACCCCCGTAGGCTAGGCGAAGCCTGTCGCCTCCCGATTAGTCGCGCCTAGGCGCGCCTAAGGCGTCGCCTTTTTGAACTTTGATTGAATCTGCTACAGCTGTTCACTGATACAAACTGTCATTGATTTGTTATGTGTCATTTGTTTGTAGGCCTGGAAGATGAGCAGGCGGAACGTGAGGGCAACAAATTCCGTTCGAGGTTACCTCCCATTCAGAAAAATAAATATGGCCCGGTACAGTACAATTTTTTCTTTCTCCCTTTTTTTTATGCCTTGTTTATCTGTAGGCATCTCTCTCTTGGAAACTATTATGAGGGAATTGTGGATGCAGTTACCTTTGAATACACTCAAAAGCCAAGGGCGTGCGGGGAAAAGGGATCCTATATCGGTGGACAAGATGTACTCAAGCCAACCAAGTTCCACATCTTTATCTGCAAAGAGGACTCATGCCATTGATCCAGAGGTGTCTGATCATGAAAAATGTCAGAAGGTTGAGAGTTCCCTCCCCAGAAGATTCTCTAAGAGGTAGGCTTCCATTTTCCTTCTGTTTACGGACAAGCTATTTATGTCACGTTTCTAACTAGTAATTTTATCTTTCCATTTTGTACAACCGTCCAATATTTGTTAATGAAAATGTGACGATTTATGGAAATTTGTAGATTATTAAAGATATTTTCTGCCTTGCTTATGTTGCACAAAGCATTTACATATTACACACATATGGTCATATACATTGGCATCTATGATGTACCATTATTATATATATAGCTTATTACTTTGATCCATCTAGAAGTACGAATCAGCAGCTCATTTTCAATTCTTCTATGCAGGAGGAAGGAACAGCTTCGGAATTCATCTTCTGTTTATTCTCGAAAGGTTGGTATGCTGATACTGAGTACTCTGCGAATTCTCCTTTAGTTTCCTATTCCATAACTAATCATCCGTACTTTCCTGTTGCTTGAATGTTAAAATCACACGATCCTCATTTCGGATTAGCTGCTAAATGTTCAAACTATATTATGTTGCATTTCAATGTAATCCTACTGCATGCAATGCGTAATGAGCATATCATATTTGACTTCAGTGGTCATAAGAACTGTAGAGAACATAGTGAGTGTTGGTGTTTACTATCTAGGACATTTCTTCAGATTATTGATGGGTTCATTGCATTAGTGATTGCTCACTAGCAAGGCTGAGCAAGGTTGAGAAAAATAAACTCTCTTTGTTAACATGAGTTCACAAAGCTTTGTGTTTTTGCACTAAATCTTGTTTTCAGAAAGGTCAGGTAGTTATTACCTTCTTTAATAGACACTGCTAATTTTGCCATGGTATTATTTGTTCATAATAAGTTTGGCTGTCATATGTTGCATCGGCAAGAGACAGGCCGTTTATCGGGCACTATGCCATACTTTCTCATAGTAGTTTGATCATGGCACCACTTTTACATGTAATTTTGAGTTTTTGACCTTACACATTTATTAACCTGAGTTGCCTATAAGGTTCAAGATGTGGTTCTATTGGATGATGAAGATATGAAACCTGAGGAAGAAGTAAACTGTGAGATGTCTGACAGACGGTAAGGTTCTCTCTGTTGTTGTATTCATCATGTAAACTGTTAGCTGAGCTTTTGGTTTGTGTTTCAACTGAACCAATTGTATTTTCAGGAATGAACCGAAGATCTACTACCCATCGAGGTGAATATTGTGCTTTTTTTTTTTCTTTCTGAAGATCATGAATTCATGGTCGGTGTTCATTTTACCTTCTTTTGACTTTATTATGAACAGAGATAATAGAGAATCTGTGGAGCTCACCAGATCTGATATTAAATGTCTTGATCCTGGAGTATATCTATCGTCACCGGTGATAAACTTCTACATCCAGTAAGTCGCGACTTTGTATTATGATTATGATTTTTTACTTAAACTGCTCCAGTGTATCACTTATTTTTCAAACAAATAGGAAGCAACCAGTGAAAGGTTTGTTATGGGAATATTTAGGTGTTAATGTTTGCTCTTCTACTGCTACTCACATTGTAAATTGTAAAGTCTTGAATGCCATCAAACTATTTACTGTGGGCTATTTAACTGAAGAATTTGTAAAGTAAGTATTATGTGAACTCTGAGCTATGCTATTTCCAGGGAGGTATTAAAAGATACTCTGTATTCTTTCCTTGATGTTGCTGTGCAGGTACATCAAAAGGAACAGATTGTGTACTGAAGATTTCAGAGACAAATTCTACATATTTAACACTTATTTTTATGGAAAGCTTGAAGAAGCATTGTATTGTCCGGTACGATCTTTTGTGCCATGAAGTCATACTTCTCTTACTAAATGGCTTTGCACTATATCTTTGTTCAAAATTGGGATAATATACTCTTCTGGGTGCATAATACATGAGTGCCTTGTAATAGAAGTTTTTGTTCATTTTTTCCTCAAACCGGCAGGAGAGATGTCAGTCCCCCTATTAAGGCTTTGTTTGGATCCATTAGCTATTACTCCCTCCATTCCAAATTATAAGACGTTTTGTGTTTTCTAGATACATTGATTTTGCTATGCAATTAGATATACACTGTCTAGATATATAGTAAAAGCAATGCATCTAGAAAAGCCAAAATGTCTTATAATTTGGAATGGAGTAATAGTTAGCTAGCTAATATTAGTAGCTAACTATTAGCTGGTTTGGCTCAACTAGTGAGATAGTTGTTTGTTGGGTATTCGGCTAACAAATAGATAGACTATTAGCTGGACCCGTTTGGATCCAAAGGAGTTAATTATTAGCAGCTAAGTATTTCCTTTATGGATACAAACAGGGCCTAAGAAGGTATGGACACTAGTACAGTACTAATGCAAAGAAGGAAAAAGTGAAAAACGAACGCGCACAAACTCAAACTGTTAAACATGCATATGACATGTAACATGTTTGAGAGAAACACTACCCAATCAACAGATTTGTGGCATCATGGAGCTCAAACCGGAAGCTCCTGCTGAGAGTGAACCTTCAAGGATCCCATGGACCACAGCCAGCGGCTGATCCATATAGGCCGATTTGGGTGTGTCCATACCCAGGCCTATAAACAAGAAATTAGTTATTGCTATAGATTTTTCACCTTATTTGCACAATTGCATCCCCAATTAACTCATCCACTCACAGGCAGTCTGCACCCCCTCTATTTTTTCTCTAGCTTTCACCCTTGACCTCAGCTGAGGTACTCGTTGACTCCTGAACACACACTTGTGGTGTTTTGAAAGAAGCCGGACAACCAAAATGGCCAGCAAGTTAAAACCTTTCAGCCGGGGTTGGGGGTTCATCCGTTGATTGTGCCGGAGCACACCACCATTCTTGGAAGGAGATAGGATAAAGGCCATGCCAATAGACAGTTTTTGTTCTTCCTTGCCAGTTGCTATGAGATAGGTACTTCGTTTCTTGGGTGGAATTACAATTAAAAAATGACATACCCAGACCTGAAAGCTCCCATACAAGACGGGGTCTGGGGAAGGGAATTTCTAGAGAGCCTTACCCTTTCTTTTTGTGCAAAAGGAGTCTGGTTTCAACCCAGGATGTCCAAGGCACAAGTAGAGATTGTACCAGTGCTCCAGGCCCGCCTTCTTGAGGGAGGAATTACAACTAACCAATTATTATTTTCTTCTTGAGCGAGGAATTACCATTTTGTCCTTGTACCCCTTATGACCTACAATGCTCAAGGGTTAGATGCACATTTGAGTTTATTCAACTACATTTCAATCCAGTCATTTTCCACTATTTTCCCACTAGTCCTTCACAAAATTTGATCCTCTTCTTTTTCCAAATTCAAATTGAATTAAAGTATTCTCTCCTGTTTTTTCTCTCTCATTTCTCTTGTGTTCATGTGTTGACATTATCTTTTGTTCTACTTGTTTTTTCATTTTTATTATCTTAACATGATATCTTAGATGGCAAAATTATGTTTTTTGTTGGATTTTGTTCTAGGATGAGTTCTCAAAGTTGAGAAGATGGTGGAAAGGTGTCAATATATTAAATAAAGCATACATCATCTTGCCGATCCATGGGACGTAAGTCGATACTGAATAAGACGTTTACAATATGAAGCCGAAATACTATTATTCAGATCCATGCAATATAATTTGTTCTCAAAGCCACACTTTTATATGCTTATTAAGACATTATCAGCTTGTTAGCAAGTTTCATGGTTCATCTGGACCCCCTTTGAATTATCTTAGATCTTGAATGTGGCTCCTGAGATTCCTAATATTGTGCTTATATCTGTACTGTTGTTAAACCTTTTTTATCGTCTGAACTGTTGCCCTTTAGCATATGCTGAATGCTTTTGAAACCTACAATCATGTCTTTCACTCTGTACCTTTGTGTATAGTATATTTATGAAAAAAAAATGTCTCTTTACATTTGTAAACCAGGGCGCACTGGAGCTTGGTAATCATTTGCATTCCTGCAAAAGAGAGTATTTCAGGACCAATCATACTTCATCTGGACTCCCTAGCGATGCATCCCAGTACTAAGATCTTGAACACAGTTGAGAGGCAAGTAACGACTTCACTACTTCAGCTATAGTTGTCTAGCTATTTTCATTTTTGCTATTAAAAAGACAAGAAATTCTAGAATGTGGCAGACTTGCCTGCTGCTGAGTTTTAGTGCAAGTGACCTACCCTATGCGCAACACTGACAATGCCAACAACATGTTGCAGATACCTTGAAAAAGAATGGCGCCAACTATCATCAATTTTAGGGACAACATGGGAGGATCTTAAAAGTACTATACACAAGGAAAGCGTCGAGGTACATACAGTTTAACAATGTGCAAAGTTACACTGTCTTTCCAGTTCTCCTTGGCACATAGGTTTCCAGATGTTTGCGTTAAATATTTGTTGAGACTGCGACTACTTGAGTTTACTCAGAAATCAATATAACATGTTTTCAAAAACTGTTAGGTTCATGGCAGAATAATGAGTACGACTGTGGCATCTTCATGCTTTATTATATTGAACGGTTTATAGAAGGGGCACCAGAAAGATTCACAATTGATAAACTTGATATGGTTAGTGCTGCCAGCTCTTTTCTGTACTTGTTCAGTTCTTGTTTGCTGTTTATGTTCAACTTTTAAGATTGTTTGAGAGATTTCAATAATGAACTTGTGTTTGTTACACAGTTTGATCGGAGTTGGTTCAAACCTGAAGAAGCATCTGATCTAAGGCGGAGAATAAGAGAGCTACTGCTGGAAGAATTTGAAAGTGCCAAGCTGGATGATGCTTTATCAGGAGCAGATGCATCTGATCCTGATGACAGCATAAAGGATGGAGAACTGAAAGCAGATGCACCTTCTGACAGTTCAGAAATGGTCGTAGAGGTGGTAGGAGGGTTGGGAAGCACTGTCAAGAGCAATGAAGGCATCAAGGTTGTAGCATCAGAAGAGGCAAGTGGAGAGTCAGGAGATGCTGGTAAGAGTACTGAAGGCATTGTTGCAGCATCAGAAAAAAAGAGTATTGAAGGCATCAATGTTGCAGAACCCGAAGAAGCAAGTGAAGAGTCTATAGATGCTTGTAAGAGTATAGGAGGCATCAACGTTGCAGAATCTGATGAAGCAAGTAGGGAGTTTGGAGAGACCGGTAAGACCAACAAAGGCACCAAGGTTGCAGTGTCAGAAGGAGCAAGTGTGTCTGGATACACTGATAAGAGTATGGAAGACATCTCTGACTACGAGGTTTCAGTATTAGACAAAGTTCCAACTAGCAGCTACAAACGCAAAAGGAAGACCACAAGTGGAGAGTCTGTGGATGCTGGTAAGAGTATTGAAGGCATCAATGTTGCAGAACCAGAAGAAGTAAGTGAAGAATCTAGAGATGCTGGTAAGAGTATAGGAGGCATCAATGTTGAAGAATCAGATGAAGCAAGTGGGGAGTTTGGAGAAGCTGGTAAGACTAACAAAGGCACCAAGGTTGCAGTGTCAGAAGGAGCAAGTGCGGAGTCTGGATATGTTGATAAGATTATGGAAGACATCTCTGACTCTGAGGTTGCAGTATTAGACAAAGCTCCAACTAGCAGCTACAAACGCGAAAAGAAGGCCACAGCCCGTGTTCTATCAGAAGCAGCTTCATTTTCAGATAGTGTCAAAGACGAAGAAGGTACGGTGAAAGCAGATTCTGGCAGCTCAAAAGCTGAGAAAGAAGGTGATTTGATTGTAATTGCATCGCCGGAAAGATCGGAGGGGAATGATGAGATCATTGGTAGCTCGCGAATTCCAGATGTAGTTTGTGACAGCTGCGACAGTGACACAGATGCCACGGTGAGGATTGTAGGAGTTCGCAAACGAATTTTTTTTCCATCGTATGGTTGCAATAATCCACACAAGGGGCCATGCACCGTGCCTCTGTTGGATTCTCGGGAAAATGGGAAATGGTGACAGATTTTGGTGTGATATTTTGAGGTTTCTGTTACCGTATGCCAAGCACGCAGATGATGATCTCAGTAAACCGAATAGGTAGTGGGTCGATGCATGGCCTGCTTCCCTGATCTCGGGCATTTGGCTCCTGGAAAGCAGTTTTTGGGTAGGCAGTCCATGGGCATGGGCATGGGCGCGAGACTTGTAAAGTGTACAGGTTAAATGGCTAACAATGTAGAGAGTAACCAGGGTGGACACCTGCCAGTGGTGCATATATATTCCTTCAATTTGAGATAAGCTATTGAAAGGTTATGCATGTAAGGTCGTGCGTATTCCTTTTGTTCTTTTGAGCAAGCCAACATATGCTCGAGTTGCCAAAACATGCACCTTTATTCTTCTCCAGCTTTGATATGATGGCATTTCTCTTGACTTGGGAGTAGATTTATGGTGTGAATGAAGCTACTACGGTGCAAATGTGCATCGGCATTATTATACATGTCTAGGGCTCTAGTTGCCCGTGGAGGTGATACGGATATGGAATGCATTGGCAGGCGGCAGCAGCAGCATGATGTCACGTAGTGGGAATAGGAATATATATAACTAAATATAACCTCTGTAATCAGCTTAATTCTGCGCAGCTGCTTGCGTACATCGTCATCCTTTTTGTTTTGTTTTGCTTTCCCGATGATAATCGTCATCCTCATCGCGTTGACTGGATGGATGCTCCACCTCCACGGCTCCACGGCAGCGTATGTGGGAACAGTGCAAGATCATTTCGGATCGCAGATTATGGGGGCGATTAACAATATTTGTGATATGGGAGTGGTTGGATTGGATGTTGAAGCAACCACAGATGACGGTTCCCATGAGCATTCCTGTCTGGCTGTCTCTGAAACTGAAGTTTCTTTCTTTCTTCTTTTTTTTTTCTTTGCAAAGAAGAAACTGGAGTTTCTTGACACCCTGCATAAACCGGAGTTTGTGCCAAACTTTAAAATATATAAGCCCTACTATATAACTCACATCATCTTTTTTTTTTTTGAGAATTATATAACCCACATCATCTAACCTCGAGGGCTAATCCGGCAAATCAAACAGCCTGTTAGAGCCTGATTTACCAATACCACCCAAACTTTGAGTGGAAGCTTCATCAAGCTCTAAACATTTCTTTTTTGAAGAAAAAAGTTACACAAATTTGCAAAAGCCCATCAATTGATACTACGAAGCCGGCCCGGCCCGGCACACCATAATAGCGCCCTTTTTTAAAAAAGAAAAAACGTATACGAGAACAAACGAAAGGGATGGAAAATAAAAAAGGGCGAGGAAAACTGAAAACTTTCGAAAATGGTGGCGCTCAGCTCCTTATCCCCAGGGCCACCGCGCCCTTCTCCGTCTCCGGCGACTCCTCGCCGCCGGCCCCCGCCGCCGACACCTCATGTCCATACCTCGTCACGTCGTCGCGGGAGGATCCTACGCGCCGCAACCGCCGCGGCCGCCACGCCCGGCGCCGACGACTACCACTCCACCATCCGCTCCCTCAACTCCCGCGGCCGCCACGTCCCCCGAAAATCCCTCGGGCAGGTCCTCCCTCTCACCCCTGAGATTCGGCCCCTAGAACCGCCACCCACAGACAGGCTCACCATTCAGTCATTCACCGCGTACCGACGCGGCTCTCGTCTCCCCGCAGAACTACATGCTCAACTCCAAGGTGAACGAGGAGCTGGTGGCGGCGGCGGGGGTGGAGGAAGGGGACGTCGTGCTCGAGATCGGCCCGGGCACCGGCTCACTCACCGCCGCACTGCTCCAGGCCGGCGCTACCGTCTTCGCCGTCGAGAAGGTCCGTAAAACGTTGCTTTGCTTGGTATTCTGTAGCCGGGCTCTGTGCTGACTGCTGAAAGTGAGAATGAGCTCCTGAAACGAAATTGGAATTGTGTGAAATGGTTCAGCGTGTTTGGGTGAAGGAAGGTGTTGGTTCATTTCTAGTGGGTGATGTGATACTATCTTCGGTGTGTCAATCGTTGATGCCTCGAAAGGAAACAAGTATGAGTAGTTTTTCTTTTCATTAATTGGGATTTGGGACCTGTAAGTTCTAACTGAGATCATGCTTGTCTTTGAGACTTTTATATAGACTGACCTGAGACTGAGTTGTGAATGATGTGCCGATAGTGTGGCCTTTCACTTACTTGCGAAAGATTGGAAGAAGTTATCTGTCTAATATAAGTTTCTTTTGGTTCCTTTAAACACTTATTATAGATTCAAACGTGAGCATGACATTATAAGTTGAAGCTGAACTTGAGGTGTATCCATCCAAAATTTTTTTTTGAAATAAAAGGCAGGAGCTCTGCCGCTCAATTAAGACGAAAGAATGTAATAATGTACAAGAAGGTTAGCCAACCGAGTAGCCAAAATGGCACCCGAGGGGCTAACCACCCTACGCGATGCGATTGAGCACAAACACGACACACTGTCATGGATCATCGTTGCCGAGCATGGAAGTAAAGCTGCCAGCAGCTTGGACTTCCCATGGCAGGCCACCCACTGGTCACCTCCTGACGGGTCCAAAGGAACGACCGCCACCGGTCATCGTTGCCAAGCTCAACCATCGAAGAGCAGCTCCGACTTCCAGTCGCGAACCCATGCCTCGCATCGAGGCCGCAGCGATAATCCAGATGCGACGCCTTCAGGAAGGGAGCGACGCCGATGGCGCCACCGTTGCACGTCCAAAGTGGACCGGGTTTTCACCCTTGGATGACATGCTAGAGTGGAAACACGACGCCCCCAACAGGGAAGCGTGAAAGCTCTAGTTTGGTTTTGGTTAATTGATGAAACCCTAAGTGCTAACCTAGTTTATCTAAGTGATTATGAGATAGGTAGCACTACTCCAAGAGATGAAGCAATGCTGAAGATCATGACAATGGTGATGGAACGTTGATGATCAAGTGCTTAATCTTGGAAAAGAAGAAAGAGAAAAACAAAAGGCTCAAGGCAAAGGTAAAATGATAGGAGCCATTTTGTTTGAGTGATCAAGACATTTAGAGAGTGTGATCACATTTAGGATAGATAACCGTACTATTAAGAGGAGTGAAACTTCAGATTTAAATGCGGTTGTCAAAGTGCCACTAGATGTTCTAAACTCATTGCATATGCATTCAGGATCTAGTGAATCACTAACACCCTTGAAAATGTTTGAGAAAATATGCTAACACATGTGCATAAGGTCTTACACTTGGTGGTTAGCACATTTGAGCAAGGGGGAAGAAGACAGAGGAGATGCGATTGTCGGTCAAGTGGCCGGGATATTTGGATCTGAATGCACCGGACTCGATCTGTTGCTGCGTCCGGTCATAATGACTTGGCGATACTGATAGCTAGGGTATACCACCGGAATGACTGGTTGTGTCCGGTCGAGGTGGACCGGACGCGTCCGGTCGAGGAAAAACAGATTTGGACCCTTACTGTACTCGACCGGACGCTGAGGCTCCAGCGTCCGGTCAGTTTAGCCGGAGCGTCCGGTCAACACTTAGCCGTTGAGATCTGACGGTTCGATTTTAACTCAGAGTGACACGTGGCAAAAAAATGGATGGACCGGGACCCGTGGGTCCAGGGTCCGGTCGATCGACCGAAGGCGTCCGGTCGAGCGCGTTTTGCCCAAAGTGAAGGGGTATAACGGCTCTATTCCGTGGGGGCTTATATTTAAGCCCCATAGACAGTTGAAGCTCCAACTCTTGGCCATTTTCATTGACATAGCAACCTTGTGAGCTTAGCCAAAGCCCTCCCACTCATCTCCATCATTGATCCATCGTCATTGTGAGATTGGGAGAGAATCTAAGTGCATTACTTGAGTGATTGCATCTAGAGGCACTTGGCATTCGTGTTGCACTGCGGATTTCGCTTGTTTCTCTTGGTGGTTGCCACCACCTAGACGGTTGGAGCAGCGGTGGAGGATTGACACGAGTTGGTGATTGTTCGTGGCCATCTCCGGTGATTGTGAGGGGAGTTGTACCTTCCCCGGCGGAGTGGCGAAAGGTAACTCTAATATATTACTCGTGTCATTGAGTTACCTCACTTGTGGGTCGGTTCTTGCGGTGTCCTATCGTGTGGACGAGGTTTGTGAAACACCTCTTAGCCACCGAACCACCAAGTGTTGGTCGACACAACAGGGACGTAGCGTGTTGGCAAGCACGTGAACCTCGGGAGAAAATCGATTGTCTCTTGTCTTTGGCATTCTCCAGGTGATTGGCTATATATTCATCTTGTGTTTGGTTCATCCCCTATATGGCGGTATAATCACCCTACTCACTTATTTACATTCTTGCAAACTAGTTGATACAAGCTCTTTAGTGTAATTAGAATTGAGAGCTTGCTTTATTATTTACATTCATCTAGTTGAGCTCTTTAGAGTAGCAAGATTGAGAGCTCTTAGTGAGTAGTTACATAGCAAATTTGTCTGCCTAAGTAATCATTGCAACTAGAATTGTTGGATAGGTGGCTTGCAACCCTTGTAGAGCTAGAGCAAGTTTGCATTACGCTATTTGTTATACTAATCAAATTGCTCTAGTTGATTTGTAGATTTTTAAATAGGCCATTCACCCCCCCCCTCTAGCCATATTAGGACCTTTCAAAGCGGCGTCCAATGGCGTTGCCGTCGCCAAGGTTTTCGCCCAAGAACCCTCTAGCACGAACGCCGGGTGTGGCCGGACCCCGCCATTTACACCGCCATCGTCGTTGTGTCCGCCGCATTTCACGGAAGCCCCTTCAGAGGGGCATCAACCTTGCGCCGATGCATGCAATGACCCTTCACGGTTGTCGGCCGTCACCCCCTTCGTCCGGCCACGATAGCCGGACTGGCTCTCCGCCATTATGCGTCCCGAGCCGCAGCGACGAGGCCATCATCGACCATCTTCGTCGGCCCAGCGCCGCCGATGTCGCGACCAACCTCGCCGCCAGCCGCCGCAGGGCGTGTGCCCCACCATCTCGGGCGCCCCCCCCTGGGACCGCCGGATCCGGACACCAGGCCCCGAACTCGGCGCCCCCTGCCGCCGCCGCCGCCTCCGTCTTGACCACAACCGCAGGCACCGCCCGCCGCCGGCCCCGAAGCCGAACTGGCCACCTGGAGTCCAGATCTGGCCTCCCGGGCACCGGATCTGACCTCACGTGGCCCGGACCGGCGGCCCCAGCAGTCGCCGCCGTCGCCGTCAAGAGAGGAGGAGGGGAACGCGCGGAGGAGAAGGAGAGCCCGCTGCAGTCCCCTGCGCCAGCTCGGGCACCAGCCGGCTCCGCCATATAGCATGACAGCCCTCCCCGCTGAGCTCCACGCAGCTCACGCGAGGGGAGGGGCCGTCGACTTCTTGCCGCACGCGCCGCCAAGAGAAAGGAGAAAAGGCCCGCCGCCGCCATCCCGCTGGGCCGGGCGGGCCATGCGTGCAGCTGACTCGGGTGGCGCGTGGTGAGGAAGGGAGGAGGGCTGCTAGGGTTTGGGGGGAGGAGCCGCCCGAGCCACTCACGTGGGAGCGACGCGGGGGAATTGTATCCGTCCAAATAGAAGTGCCTCCCCTGATATTCCAGCTGCGTTTGCCTTTTGGGCTAGAGAAAGTAGTTGTAATTTTCTTCTCATTTTGGGAGCTTTAACAGTTGAAGTCTAGAAGCTTTCTATTAAGGATCGATAACCTGCATCATCATGTTCTTTTCTTTTTTTGGTAACAGGACAAGCATATGGCTACCCTCGTTAAAGATAGGTTTGGATCTACAGAACAGTTGAAGGTAGCATCTAGCTCTTCGTTTGACATGTCATGCTTCCTTAACACATATGGTGTGCAATATTCTCTTGTTGCTCTCCAGGACATCAAGATGTACACTGATGTCCTCTAAACAACCTAAAATTTCTATCTGTTGTCATTCATTAGTCATTACAGATGAATAATTCTGTCAAATAATTTGGAAATCAGAAGCTCAAAATGTATCAACAATATTGCTTTTAGTAAAGCTTACAGTTACCTTACACTTGATCTGTGTTGATAGTACAAATCTGTTGCAGGTCATTGAAGAAGACATCACAAAATTTCACATCCGTTCCCATTTTCTTACTTTGATGAAGGAGAAATACTATGCCACCAAAAAACTTGCAAAGGTGAGCTTGATGCTCATCCGCAGAAATCTATATGGAGCTTGTTTTTGTGATTATGTTCCAGTTTCTACTTTGCAGGTTGTATCAAACTTACCATTCAATGTCAGCACCGAAGTTGTCAAACTACTTCTCCCAATGGGGGATGTTTTCTCTGTCGTGGTGCTTATGCTTCAGGTTTGAGACAGCTCTTACATTCACTTTTGCAATGGCTAATGTTGCAGACAGTTAATAACAAGCCAGTGGTGGTCCAGATTTCAGAAGATATAGAACTTTTGACTATCATGTATTTCTGTGTGATTTCGATTTTAGAAACACTACCCATTTTTGTTAAGGGGCCATTTCAATCTATATTATTTTACCTCCGTTCTCTGTTTGAATGAATTATTTTTTAATATTGTTATTGACTCATTATACTTCATTCTCGTATCCTCATTTCCAGGATGAAACAGCAGTACGCCTTGCAGATGCTTCAATACAAATTCCGGAGTACCGACCTATCAACGTGTTTGTGAATTTCTACTCAAGTAAGTTTTTGTATGGAACATGTTGAGGGACTTCGATTAGTGTTGAGAGTATATTTACATCTTATCTATTTGTTTCATATAAATAGCCAGGCTTCTGAGTATCCCTTTTTACCGAGGAGGATAAAGGAAGCTCTCAGTGAAAAGTATGAGGGACCGAGGGGAGCAAAAATAGAAAAAATGGGGAAAAAATACAAACTCAGATTTTAAAGTGTTTAATTAAATTGTGCTGTAAAGTTCGCTTCTATGTTGCCCATAGAATAATGGAGATCACTTAAAGAAAACAGTCGAGATACATATTCCATAACTGCTAGTTCACGCCCTACATTTAATAGATTCATCATAAATATCTGCTAGCTACTCTGATTCTAGATCCTTCCCGGCAGCTGATGACAACAATCTTATGTTGTATCACTCTGTCTACCTTGAATAGTTATAGTGCACTTTTATCAGTCTTTTAGTTATATTGTATACATTTGATCAGGACCGTTACAGATAGTTAAACATCTAGTTTTGTTTGTTAGGGGTTCCTCGTGTAGATAAAGTACACATTAATGTTGCTTAGTTAAATTGGGAGAGCGCATTATCTTAGGATTCTGCTTAAAGAGATCAATCAAAATATTTTGAAATGTGAGCAACATAGCCCTAACAATGTTTGTCTAGCTATTCACAGTCATTAGCTTGCATTTGTTGACAGGAATGTATTTTGTTTCTTCTTTTCAGAACCTGAATACAAGTTCAGGGTTGACAGAGAGAATTTTTTCCCTTGGCCAAAGGTAATTTATTTCTTACATGTGTGAGTTTGGGGAATAACATTTTGTTGTTTCCCAGTGGTTTGAGTTTCATGAACCTTATTTCAAGACTATACTGTTCTTGGCCAATTCCATTTGCAGGTTGATGGTGCTGTTATCAGCTTCAAACTAAAGAATGCGGAGGAGTATCCGCCAGTTAGTTCCCCGAAAAGCTTCTTTTCAATGGTGAGTAGTGGGTCATCGGGCCATGATGTGCAGAAACTTGTCCCAAATCTGAATTGCTTTCTGTGGTTGAAATTAATTCCCACATGTTTGTAACTTCTATTAAGATTGGCTCCTGTCCTTGATTTCCAGGTGAATTACGCTTTCATGGGGAAGCGCAAGATGCTTAGGAAATCTCTTCAGCACCTATGCTCTTCTTCTGAGATCGAGGCTGCTCTTGACAACATTGGCCTTCCAGTTACAGTAAGCTTTCGCTCCTTCTTCTGTATCCCCTCCTCCCACTCTCTTCTGTATCCCCTCCTCCCACTCTCTGTGAGCATGTGCTATTGTGCTCACTTGTCAACTGCTGGTGGCAGGCTAGACCTTCTGATCTGATTTTGAATGATTTCGTGAGATTGCACAATCATCTGGCGAAAGTATGACTATAAAGTGCCTCCAAAATGCCTAAGGAATTGCTTGTTAGCATGGTTTTGAACAGTTTAAGTAACTTAGGCCTGACCGCCTGAGAGTTGCTCTGCAGGTAAAAAGACAGGATCTCACAACCTGCTTGAGTTCAGATTTTGGTTTTTTGATCCTGAAATTTGAGCTTCTGCTAACCGCCAGTAACCAGCTATTTTCTTCTTCTTGGATTACAGGTGCCTTCAGCTCAGCTGCCGCAGCACAGGTTTGGTATTCTGGCATGCAGGCTGCAGTTCCCCTGCATAGTTGGTTATGTTCCTGCATATAGTTGGTATGTTCAACTTCAAACCAATAGATTTCCATGCCATGGAAAATGCAGAATCGTCGTGAAAAGAAGGGTGCTACATCTACGTACTTACTGTTCACGATCTATGATGTACACAACGGCATCTACTAGTTCATCCCTTCGCAAAGTAACGAAAGCCAAATATGATGGAGCAATGCGAAGGGACGCCGTTATAGCGCGACAGGTCGCGCGTATGCCTAGTGCGCGACCCCTATGTCCGTCCGACAGCGCTGATCGCACTCCCGTCTGCCCGCTCCCTGCTGCATGCGTCCCGTGCAGCCGTGCTTGACCCAATGCATGCAAGCGCTGATGTAAGCGAATAAAAGTACAAATATTTCCTTTAAATTGCTATAACTTATAAATGGTATATCTGTTTTTAATTCCGTCTATACCGGTGTATTTCGCGTGATGAAGCGAATAAAACTAGACCCCACTTGCATATATTTCGAAAAATTTATTTTAGCAGCAATTTATTTGTAATACTATCATGTAATACTAAAGTTGCTACTCCAAAAATATACTGAAGTTGTTACAGTATGGGGAAAAAATATCAAAGTAGTTACTATCACATAATACTATAGTTGTACAACTTGGAGCAAATTATTAAAATAAGCATTGCATAAGCTTTGAACTGAGGGAGCAAGTTATTATACAACTTGCTCAAATCTGTTCCTCCTTTCCGCTCGAATCTGCCGGCAGCCGCCCACTCTATTGATCCAAATCTGCTCCTCTCCGTCGATTTGCTCCTCCTCGCAGATTGGTTGCTTCTCTCCGCCGATTTGTTCCTCCTCTTCGCAGATTGATTGCTCCTCTCTGCACTAAAACACATGAAAGTAGATAATACTGAAATTGACAACCAAGAAAATTAATTGAAATTGACCAATAGAAACTAAAAATTAAAGTAGATAAAATGAAAAAACAGCAAAAGAAGAATGAAATTGAAATTACCTTAAACTGAAATTGACAAATAGAAACGGAAAACAAAAGTAGAAAAAATGAGAAAAAAACTCTGAAACATAAAACTAAAACTAAAACTAAAATAACTAGAAATTGATTGAAATTGACAACTCCAAACTGAAATTACAAGAAAATAAAATTGAAATTGGCAACCACAAACAAAAACTAAAATTGAAAAAAAGAAAATAAAAACTAAAGTTGACAAAATGAAAAACAAATAACTGAAAATGAAATTACTAGAAACTGGAACTAAAATTGACAACCAGAAAAATAAACTGAAAATGAAAAATAAAAACTGAAAACTAAAGTAGACAAAATAAGAAACACAAAACTGAAAAATAAGACTAAAGCTGAAATTGGCAACTAGAAAATTGAACTAAAATTGACAGATAATAAATGAAAACTAAAAAACAAAATAAAAAAATATATTACTGAAACTGAAAATGACAACTAGAAAATTAAACTGAAATTAAAAAAACTAAGACCAAAAGAAGCACAGGGACTTGAGAAAATGAAACTCATAACTCATTAAACTGAAAGGAAAAACTAGATAAATGAAATTCATAACTCATTAAACTGAAACTAAAATAACACTACAAGCTGCATGACCTTGTATGTGGCAAGTTTAAAGTCTGTAGCAAGTTATATTTTGAGCAAGTGGCAAGTTATTTTCATTACCACTATATAAAATACATAAGTAGCTACTAAACATACAACATAAGTTACCACTATATAAAATATATTTTAAAACATAGACATTATGGGTCTAGTATTATAGCTCTCATCATAAAAAACACGATGGTGAAAATAAAACTAAAAACGGACTACGTATAAGAAAGTTATTGTATTTGTAAAAGAAAGAAAGCAAAAAACCCCACCACAATCTTCCACTAGCAAAGCGTTGTATGCAACTGCATGACCTCACATGTACTGGCGGACCAGGCCGGATGGATAGGTGGCCTAGGTAGGCCGAGCACATCTGCGGCCGTAAATCTTGGCGGCGAGCTCGGCGCCAGTCACTTTGACGCCGAAGTCCCTGCATTTAACCCCGACCCATCCTTTCTGCCCGATCGTTCTTCCTCTTCATTCTCCTCCCTTTTGGGTTTTTTCTCTCCCCACTTCACCCTATCTCACGAATCGGCATATTGGACCTTGGAAACCTTGATTTGATCCGTAGATCTTCGAGAGTAAGGTATCCTCGCTCCCCTCCTAGTTTTTTTCGCATCGATTCAGTATATATTAGTCGGATTTTTGAACGTAATAATCGTCATCACTTAGGGTTTCATTCTATCCCTCAATATATGTATTATACAACCATAGTATGATGTCAAGGCGTGAAAAAGCTAGCAAATGTAGGCGCATGTAGTTATTTTATGGGTTCATTGTTGTGCATCAAATGGGAAACCGTAGATTTAGGATTTAATGTTAACTGCTTTCGGTTCTTAGAACGAAATTGGTTGTATTGTAGTTATGGTTCTCATTGATATTTATATCTGAAGTTTTGATTTATGTTTGTTTAATTACATCCATTTTGTTAGATGGAAGAAATGTTTCGGGATGAGTTTTTGGAGAAAACAGGGTTGTCCTCGAGAATTATACCCCGACGCGTCTAGCAAAGATGCCCCCGTCCCTCCTGACCTCCCTGTCCCTAACTGTGACTGTGGTCGTCCGGCCGACGTGTTTCAATCGAGACATCCGGACACAACGGCTCGTTGCTTCTACACATGCAGTTGTTTTAATGTAAGTATGCTACTAATATTTTCACTATCCTTTTTCTTTATTTGTGTAAGTATGCTATTAATATTTTGTTCGAATCTCGTTGTGTAGGACCATGAGAGGTGCCTTTTCTTTCAGTGGATCGACGGTGCAGACAAGTTTGATCCTAGGTACCTCCTTTTCGACGATTGGTTTAGAGGGAGGAATCCACGTGAGCGCTTCAAGCGATGGGTTCCACCCTCCCTAACCCTCCACCAATGATGGCTAAGGAGAAGCACCTAGCCGCAGTTAGACGACTCGATAAACCTCCTCTGTGCCATTGCGGAGATCGAGGTGTGATAAACCCTGAGAATATGTTGGAATTTGTGTGTCCAAACAAGCATGAAGTAAATGCAAAGTGTATGTGTTGAAATCTTGAGCTATATGTGTTCATGTACTAATGTCTCCTTATTTAGGAGTTCTCAATGGCGAAGTGTCGTTTCAAGGAGTGGTTGTATGGTCCTAAAAATCAATGGCCAGAAAAACCACGGAAGGTTAAGGAAAAGAAGAAATAAAGGGTAATCTACAGAGCATCTCCTGTCATGTGCGAATGTGGTGTTAAATCTAACTATGGCCTAGTACCTTCGGAGCTTGGAATAGGCCATTATTGCGGCCATATGGTTGAGTACGAAGAGGTTCGTTATTTTTGTGGTAAACATAAAATCGTATTTTGTTTCTTTTGGTTAGACATATATGATATAATATTTCTTTTAAACAGAACACTAGCAAATGTAGGTGGGAACGTTACGATGGTCAAGCTAAGTTCTTGGATGAATTGAAGAAGAGGAAACTAATTGCATGGAAGAGGGGATATGGACTTGACTACGTCAACCTATTCGTTAAACATCACAAAGAAAAGATGCGTCAGTTTTCTAGACAGAGCGGTATTTGTAACCCGATCGATGTTGGGCTTAACAAATAGGAATTGGAGAGGCGGATGACGTTAGAGGAGGAGAGGGCATGCAAGGAGGCAAGGGAGGAGACAAGAGTACAGATGCAGGTCTTGAACGAGCATGTTGCTGCATTATGTGGCAGTGAGTGCTTGAAAGCCTTTTTTCGTTGCCTGATTTTAAATGTAATATAATCGTGTTGCTAACTGATTGCATTTTATACATGAAGGGATTGGTTGCAGCGAGGATCATGCCGTAGAGGTGGCTCGTGCAAGGTATGAGGAGAAGTTAGATGAGCATAGACCGCGAGCTGGTCGCATCGTTCAATCACCGATTGTGTTGTCTGATGAGGGGGACGAGGATGAGGACGACACTGGGAGACTGAGTGAGCTCATTGCTCTAGCAGAGGCGGGCATGCAGGCGCAAGAGGATGACGACGACACTGGCAGACTGAGCGAGCTCATCGCTCTAGCAGAGGCATGCAGGCGCAAGAGGATTACGACGACACTGGCAGACTGAGCGAGTCATCGCTCTAGCAGAGGCGGGCATACAGGCGTAAGAGGATGACGACGACACTGGCAGACTGAGTGAGCTCATCGCTCTAGCAGAGGCGGGCTTACAGGTGGAGGAGGATGACGACGTGTTCTTCACTCAGGCCGCAACGGCCACAGATGAAGCGGAGGCCGCTTACTATAGGCGACAGGCAGGTCAGAGCAACGTAGGTGAGTCTAGCCACAGCAACAGGGTTGTGGTAGAGGATTGGTACTCGGATGATGAGTTGCTTACTCAGTATGTTTTGGACTGAGGATTTAGAAGTGTATTTGCCCCTATGTCTACTGTCGGCACGTACTTCTAGTAGTAATATGTTGTGTAATTTGGCATAGTATTGAACTTTTAATTATGTGGTTGTTTTCATTAATTATGGTCTTAATATTCCGCTTAATGATACGGACGTATTGAAATGTGAACACGTGCTGCAAAGAAAACCTAACGACGTACGGCATTATATAAATCAACACACGAAACACATGAACTAGCATGTGACTACAGAGTTTCCTTCGACTAAACCTAACATGCCTTAGGTAATTAAACCAAACAATAAACACATAGATGTGGTATGTGAAAAGATAAAGTCATCCTAGTAGTGTGGCCATATAGCAAATTGTGTTGCACCTTCTCCATAGTAGCCTCCCATTGTTGTTGGTGGTGGTGGCGGGGGTGACGGGGGAGGCCCCTTATTCTTGTGGTTAGGGCAGGTGCAATATGGATAATTGTAGAGTGCCTTCTGTGAATCGGCACCATTGTTGTTGTCATCCT